GCTGAGCTCGTAACCAATAAACGGGAGCGTGTTCGTGAATGTCACCTCAGAGCTCTGTCCCCCAGGCAGTGGGGGGTAGGACGGTGTACCCATAAACTGACCATGTGTCTTGGTCAGTTCTATTTTTGGAATTTCCCTGATGCCTCTGCCATCATCACCTCAACCTGAAGGTAATTACCCCCTTAACATTTTGGTGAAATCTCCTTTTTTACACGTCATCAGTTATGCTTAGGTTTACACTAGGTTTACAGTTATCTGTGCCCAAGCCCACTTCTCAGCCTGGACTGCAACCCCCTGCGGCCGGCGGTGTCCTCTCACTCACCTCTGTATCCCCTCACTCACCTCTGTATCCTGACCTTTGCACAGTGTCAGTGCTCCAGAAATGCTGGCTTCCTTACTGAGTTGCATTGAACTTGACTTTGGGAAGTTCCTTCAGCACTCCCAGAACCCTCTTCTGAATCAGGCAATCCGTGTCCTTTACGGGTGGATGTGACTCCAGGAAAACACAGAAAGTAATTCTAAGCTAAGTTTGGTGAATGAACAGAGCAATGCCAATTCCATCCTATGAATAAATTTACAAGGCTGGTTTTCTGGCGCGGCTCATAAGCCAGGTCTAGCTGCCATTCCGCTAGAAGCGTTCCAAAAATACCTTGAGCAGGGCCTTTAGAACAAGGGGGTGGAGTCCCCGACCAAGGCTGCTCTGGATCCAGCGGGTGTTCCTGCGTGGGACTGTAATGCTAAGATTGGCCACTAGAGGGAGACGCGTTCCAGACCCCATAGGAGCCTCGCAACTGCTCCAAGAACTTTATAAAGCCCGGCGGCCAGAGCAGCTGCAGTTCACAGCTCAGACAGTACCTAGAAGAGACGCTGGTGCCTCCACAGAACATCTCCCGAGTGCTGCCCAAGGCTGACCGAGGCGGGGCACCAAGACAGGGACTCCCACATGGGCACAAGGTTGAGTCTTGCCTCCTGACCTGATCCTCCTGGAGAAGTGACCCCCGAGACCCTGGGCACGGTGCAGCCTCTTTCTATGACTCCATCTGGATTTGGCTGGCAGTGGGAACGAGCTCTGAGGGGCTGCCTGGGTGTCGGGGTGGTGGCAGCAGCCAGCTCTCCAGCCACCATGGCCAATGCCAGGAACTGAGGGGACGGTCGCTGCAGCCTCATTGGGAGCCCTCAGGTGAGTCTTGGTGCTGACTCTGTCCTGGCACCTGGGCATAGCTTCCTAAAGGCAGCCAGGGGACACAGTGTGCTGGGTTTGAGCATCCCCAGGATGTGGAGCGTGGAGGTGCTAGTGCTGGGTGGGAAAGTCCTAGCTGTCAGTCTGGGGGATCTGCTGGGCCCTCATCCAGCTGCCTGGGCTGGTGGGTGTGAGCCCGCATTTGGGAGCCAGAGAAAGCGATTGCTTTAGTGGCAACTCTGCCAGGCTCATGTCACAGTTCCAGAGCCTATTCAGGGAGCAGATGGGACAGGTGACAGTCCCTTTACGTGTGTGTGCGCGTGCCTGCAGGTGTGTCCAGTGGTGGAGCGTATGAAGGCAGAGCTTATTTATAAACCATCTGTGCCTCTCCAGCTCTGGGTTATGATTTAGGTGAACTAAGTACCATTAGAGGAGGAAAGGGCTTAAAACCGACTTAGCGATTCTGTCTCCAGAGAGGGCCACGTTCAGGGTGATCTCTATTTAGTTTTGATGAGTTACGAGCCCTGTAGAGTTAGATGCTGGAACCCAGCAAGGCTTGGGCCACCCCCTCAGCAGGCAGAATTGATTGTGTCCTGCTGCTGCCCAGAGGGCTACTTGGAGCACCAGGCTCCAGATCTCAGCTCTGGTCTGCATTTGTGATTGCCTTTCGCAAAGGGATCCAAATGGCATTGTTTCTGGGACTGGCTACGCAGGAGGGTGGCCTCAGGAGACCAGGGACCCCTGTACCTGGCTGCTTGGCAGGATCAGAAAATGCTGAGGGGCTGTTGGTTCTCACCAGACTCCACCACCGACTCCCTGCATGCCCCTGTCCATGCAGCCCTCCCACATGCCCTGTCCCACACGAGGCTCGCTGGGACCAAGTGGCTAGCAGATGTGTTCTTCCCATCACAGAGGTGATGGCCTGAGGCTGAACGAGCTCAGCTGATTGGGCCAAGTTCCCCAGGGATAAGAAGTGGAGCTGGGATGGGACCCCATGTCCTCTGAGCCCGCACTCCCCACAGGTCCCTTTGGTGTCTCCACCCTGCCCGTGTTTCTGTGGCTCTGGTCCCCTCCCTTCCAGCTCTCCTGGCTCCAGGTCACCTAACCTGGCCATCTTCACTGCATCACTTTGGGCCAGAAAGGGGGCCACCAAAAGGGACTGACACATGCTTCCTGGACAGAGCAAACTCGCGCTAAGCCAGTGCCCTGGATGGGAAGCCTCACCCTCTCTGACACCCATCGGTTCTTCCCCTCTGGGCCTCGGTTGGATTATCTTTAGAATGGGAATATGATAGACCAATGCCACCTGCCTCCCTCATGGGGCTGCTGGGAAGCAGAGAGGTCCCAAAGGCAAAGGGTCTGCACTGCGGGGGCCGCACGCACACGGGTGCGGGGCTGGGAGGTATTGCTGTGTTGTCACCGCACTTGGCAATTAGTTGCACAGCCTTGGCCCAAAGGCTATAAGACCAATGCCGGGAAGGTCCAAATTCCTGCCCCCCCCCGTTCCCCAAGAAAGAAAAGCAGCCCCAGATAAAACCTGGGGCAGACAGAACATTCTTAGGTTTCATTCCCAAGTAGCAAACGCTAGCAGCGCCGGCTGAGCACTGCCAATCTCATGGCGCGGCATCTGGCCTCCAGCTCAGCCCCTTTCCCAGCAGGCTCCCCAGGGCTCCACCAGCTGAGGGGTCCGGAGGGGCAGGGGAGGGGCCGCCCTACAGACACACTCCAGATAATGCGCTGCGCATTCCAGCTCTGATCCAGGAGCTGATGGGCAGAGAGGGAAGCTGGTCCAAGCCCGGCTCCACACCTCCACCCCTGGTTCTCGGAGACCCCACGGGCTCTGGATGGCAGCTGCTGTTGCCTTTGGCAGAGAGAGGGTTCTCTCTCTCAGAGGAGACACAGGCCTCCTGCTTTGCAGCTCCCCAGGACTGAGGCCAGAGGGTGGAGTGCCGCACGAGTGCTTGTGAAACTGTAGCTTAGCAGCAGTGGAGCTGCCCAGGGCCGCACCTAGAGGCCCTCCCTGGGTGGGGGACTTAGACGGAGGGCCAGCATCAGGGGACTCGCAAACTGGACACAACTGCAGCCCAGAGAAGCGGCGCTGGGAGCCGTCTCTCCAGGAACCCCAAAGGGCAGGGAAGAGAGATGCTGGCAGGGCTGTGGGCTCCCCTCCAGCCTTCCCTCCCACTGGCTGGAGGAAAGGCCCACGGGGCCTGGGAACACCCTGAGTGTGTGTGCCTGCGTGTGTGTGTGCATGCGTGACCGTGTGTGCGGGGCAGACGGCATCTCATTACTTGAAGAGCAGAAGCCCCAGCCATCCCTCCTGGGCCAGCAGAAGGACAGGTGGATGGCAACTGGTCAGCTCTGGCTGCCTCTCAGCCCTGAGGTCAGAGGTCTCTGGAGAGAAAAGTCAGGTTGTGAAAACAGGGGATTTGTGTTTGCTGTGCCCGGCAAGGGGGTCTGGCCATTGTCTCTATTTATTGGAACAGGGTGGGTGCCTCCTTTCCCTTCAGTCAGTAGCCACTCTCCCCGCAATGCCACGGGCCAGGCCCTGTCCCCTTCTCACAGCGGTAGACACCTGGCTAGGCTCTCTGGGCCTCAGGGTTGAGTTAGCTTCACGCTGGGCCTGGGACCCATCCATCCTCCCTGGGGGGCTTTTATCTTCCAAAGAATTCACTTTTTAAAAGCGAATTTGGGGGCTCGATATCCAGATAGTCAAAGAGCATCAGAACCGAAAGTCAACATAAATCAATGGCTGGAACTGAGCAGAAAGTGGAGAGTCATTTGCAAAATCACCGAGCGTATATGTGGGAAAAGGATATTGAGTATTTTACGTAAATACTTAGTGATCTGGCTCCGCAAATGATTTCTTCTTCTTACACAAAGAATGCAAACGTATCATAGAAAACCCAGAAAATCCAGCAAACAAAAAGCAGCACAAATCCCCACAATCCCAACCAGAGTCCTGTAATACATGTCTCACCCAGGGAAACCCAGAACATCTCTGAACATCATCTCTCCCGTCACGTACTTGGGACATATGTAGATATTACAAAATGGGATCACGTTGTGCACACTTGTGTAAACGGGGCTGGTTCATTTCAAATAGCATACACAGCATTTCCCCATGTTGATGGGACATTCTTGAAATTCCACGGGGTCCTCCCCAAGCCCCAGCGATCCAGCCTCAGGAGGCCAACGGACACCAGGGCCCTCCCCAGTCTAAGGCTGCCCAGACCTTAGTGTCTGGGGGACCTCACCGAGGCCACCTGCCCCTTGGGCTCCCATGGGGGTGAATCCCTGCTATGGTCCCCTGAACCCAGCCCTTCTGACCATGCCAGCACGGCCAGGTTTGGGAGCAGTTCTGGTCTTAGCTGTGTTGGCTGGTGGTCTCTGTACGTCATTTTATGTCTAGTTTCTCTCCATTTCCAACACAGAGCAGAAGCCCAAGTCTCCCTGATGTGCCCGGGGCTCCAGAATCTTGGAAACTCCTCTGCTTGGGTCAAGAGGGTTGGCTTCTCCCAGCCCCACCCAGCATGGCCCTTGGTGTCCCCCAGCGCAGGGCTCCAGCCCCACCAAGACCTATGAAAGGGAGGGGACGGATCCCATGGTCAGAAAGGTCCAAAGGGCCTTGGCCTCCCCAAGCCAAGGAAGTTGAGGAGGATGAATTGGGGTCCTAAGCATCCGGTGACTGATGCCTGCTGATGAGGGAGTTTCCCAGTGTTCAGGCTAAGGTCACCACTCATTTGTGTCTCCACCTACAGCTTATGTCCTTTCTCTCCCCGCTGCGTCCTCCCTTCCTCTCCTGCTGCTGCAGGACGCGATGGAGAACAAAGCCATGTACCTGCACGCCACCGTGAGCGACCGTGACTCTGGCTCCATCTTTGAGGAGCCCTTTGATGGCAGGAGCCTGTCCAAGCTGAACCTGTGTGAGGACGGTGAGTGCCTCTGGCTCGGCGCGAGATCAGCCCTGCCCCCTCCACCCGATCCTGGCATTGCCCCAGGGTGCTGGTGACCCCCCCACACTCACACACACAATATTGCATAGGTCGAAATGCATGCTCAGAAGGGTCTTTTCTGTGTGTTTTCTCATTCATGCATCTCAACACACCTGTGTGACCAGCAAGATGAGACGCATTTTACAGATGAGCTAGTGGAAACTGAGAAAAGCATTAAGCATCACACAGCTCGTCGGTCATAGAGGGGCCCCAGCACTGAGGCTCCTGACTCCTAGGGCAATCCTTTTGCCTCTCTGCCATCCTCTCCTCTGGGTGAGGCTGGGGTCACACAAAAGGCAACTGAACCTAGAACCCAGACCCTCTCGGGTGACGAGCCTCCAGTGCGCTTCCTAAACTGTTTGCAAGGAGGGAACGCACCTCTCCAGATGCTCATCCTCCCCTGGGACTGAGGCCTCAGGTCATGGCACAGGAAGGGGCCCCATCCTAGTGACCCAGACCGCACTGCATCTTTGGGGGCTGGTTATTTGCTAAAACTCTGGAGATTCAACAGATGCAGTTTCCTCTAGAGGAGCTCAGCGCACCTTGCTAACAGCCAACTCCTGTGCATCCAGCACAGAGCTCGATACTTAGTAGGTGCTTAATAAATGCTTATTGCCTGAATGAATACACTCCTCTTTGCAGTGAGTACAGGCGATGAGAGCTTCATCCCCACTTCAAAGATGAGTGGAAGGAAACTCACAGGAGAGTTTTGTAAAAACTTATGGTCAATGAGATGGAAACAGGCTGTCTTAGGGTTCTCCAGAGAAACAGAAGCACAAGGATGTCTACACAGAAAAAGAGACTGATTATGAGGAACTGACTCACATGGTTATGGAGGCTGAGAAGTCCCACGATCTGCTGTCTGTAGAGTGGAGACCCAGGGAAGCTGGTGGTATAGTTCAGTCTGAGTCAGAAGACCTGAGAACCAGAGAAGCCAGTGGTGTAGATCACAGTCTGAGGGCCGGAGAGGATGAGATGATACGTCCCAGCTCCAGCAGTCAGGCAGGAAGCAAAAAGTGAATTCCCCCACCTTTTGTGCTACTCAGGCCCTCAACTGATTAGATGAGACCCACCCACATTGGGGAGGACAATCTGCTCTACTGATTCCACCAATTTAAAAGCTAATCTCATCTAGAACACCCTCATGGATACCCAAAAATGATGTTTAATCTGGTTACCCTATGGCCAACTGAGCTGACATATAAAATTAACCATCCCAGATGCCTTTATTCAACCTTTTCTCAAGCACCATGTTTCATTGTGTTCCACTCTGCCAACTGCCTTTGTCTTGAAATTACTCAACATTAGAAATGACTCCCCCTCATTCAACCCCATCTTTCCTCCCAAGAGGTACTGAGTGTAGGAAGGGAAGTTAGGTGGCTCAGAAAGGCAGGGACTAGGGATTGTCTCAGGAGGGCGAGGAGACAGGAGATTTGGGCTCTTCACCTGCCCTAGTAAACTACCCACCATCAGAGGTCTTCCTCTGAATTCCAGTCCACAACCACATTTTGAGGACCCACAATGTGTCAAGCTAAGGGTTAGGTGCCAGAGATGCTCCAGAGAGAAATGAAACCATCCTTGCCCTCCAAGAGCTTCTGATCCCAGTGGGAGGGACTGGCATGGGGACAATTACCCACCATGTAAAGGAGGTAAAAATATGTGTGATTATTAAAGTCAAGCAGGGTGAAGCCTTTCTGGTAAAGGCCTTAAAGACTGAATACAGTTTTGTAAGAGAAGAGGTAGCTGGGGAAAGGTATTACCAGCTGAGTTGCACCAGACAGGCCAGTGTTTCTGTTAAGTTAATGACACCTGGGAAGAGAGGGAGACCCCCCCCCCACCCCCAACCCCACCCCCACCCCAGGGAGCTACCAATGCTCAGCTTTTCCCCATCAGTACATCAGCAAAGCCAAGCTGGCCTTCACATCCTTCATCCACCCTCTCCCCACTGGCCCATCAGTAAAGAGGCCTGATTTGGGAAGAAAGAACTGGGGTACAACTCAGAGAGGTAATTGCAGGACCACCAGGGCCATCCTGGGGTGCCAGTGGGGAAGGGCATGGCAGGGGGACCCCAGGGGTGGGGAGAGGCCTGGGGAGTGTCATTGGGCCATGGCTCCCCCTTCTCTTGACCTCATCTTACCTCCCCTTTTCTGAACCTGAGATTTAAAAAAAGGCCATTTGGACCAGAAGGACTGAAAAATAACAGTAACCCCAGCCATGGGGAGATCTGGTCAGGGGGCAGTTTTAGAACCAGGCCAGCAAGTGTCCCAGGGGTCACCTGAGCCGCAGCACCCCGTGAAGTGTGGACGGCAGAGGTCGGAAGATGTAGGCTGGATGCTGACTCTTCCCTCCCCTGTCCCCATCCCACCCCCGGGGCATGTGACCTGATGGGCACGTCCCCTCTCTGGGCCTCAGTGTCTCCATCTCTGTGCTCCACAGGGGCAGAGGGGGTGTCTCTGAGCTCCCATCCAGTCCTAAAATTCTGTGCACAGAAACAGACTTGGATGTTGTATTTGCGGTGTGGTCCTTTTAAAACCTAAGTTGGAGCAAAGCCCAGCAAAGGCTCCCACGTTGAATAAAAACCCAGGCACTGACTGTAGCCAAGGAGCCTCTGACTCTCACAGTGGACCTGCTGGCATGCTCTATCCGATGTACGCTGCCCCCAGACCCTCCAGGCGTCCCCCTCACCTCCTTCTGGTCTTTGCTCAAATCTCACCTCTGTGTCAGGGCTTCCCGTCCTCCCCTGCACACCCATTTCCCTGCTTCTCTTTTTCCTTTTTCACCGAGTCCTAGTCTCCTCAACACACTGTATCATTTTCTTATTTATCATGTTTACCGTTTACTCTCTGTTCCTCATGGGAAGAGCATAGGCTGGACCAGGGCACGCATCTCTGTTTTGTTCATCAGTGTCTCCCAGCCTGGTGCACAGCAGGTGCTCCCAAGTATCAATATTTGTTGAATGACCAAACTAACGGCTGAGCAAACACAGGGGTCCTTGAAATCTAAAGGTGGCGGAACAAATAAATTCTAAACCTGATTTCCACATCGTCTGGGTCTCTTCCACACTTCATTCCTGGACGCCAGACATGGGGCCGGGGGTGGAGGGGCGGCCATGAAGACCCCGGAGAGACTGGAGTGTTGAGATGGTTTGATTTTTTTTCCCCTTCCCTCTCATTTCTAAGAGGAAAAAGGTGAGCTCCAACTCGGGGAAATTCAAGCCAGATTTGACCTGTTTCCCCGGCACTTTGCTGCTTTGATTCTCATCTCTGCAGAGTAACAGGAGAGGGAGGAAGGGGTGGGGCTGGTAGGGGTGGAGGGAGGTTGATGGGAAAGCAGAGGTGGACAGACGTGGGGACCCTGCCAGCACCCCCTCCCCCACTCCGAGCCTTGAGTAAATGAAAGCAGTGTCGTCTGCTAGGCCTTGTAGGGGCTCCAAGTCCCTCCCAGGATTTTCCCCTTGAAAGCAGAGAGGTGGGAGGCGAGGGGGTGCCTCCTCTTGCCCCCGGGGATCTTGGGATCAGCGGGGAGCAAAGCTGCAAAACTGCAGCCTAGATATTGAGGTATGACTCAGGCGTCAACGCAGGTGGGACTTTAAAGACAGAATGTAAACGCGGCCTCCTGTACAGGTCCCGGGCGCCTCCCTCCTCTGCTCTCCCCTCCCGTTGGCTTCTTTTCTCCTCCTACCTGCCCCCATCCCTTCCCTTCTGTTCACGCACCAGGTGAGAAGGAAGCTGAAGGGCTATTAGGCGCCCGCCATGACAGGCCACGTTGCCCCTCTCCCGCATGGTGCCACCCACATTCTTCCAGGCTCTCTCCCTCGCACCCCTGCTCCATGGTGACACCTTCGGGACCTCTCCATCCTCTGCACCCCTTGGCCGGGCCACCTCTCAGGACCCCGCCGCCTCCTTCCTGTGTCTGAGCCCCGCTGTGGATGGGAAGACGCCCAGGCAGGGCCCTCCTCACCTGCCGGTGTCCAGCGGGGCAGAGCATGGGCTCCACCTGTGTGGCTGGGACTTGTGGGTGGGCTCATGGCAGAACGCGACCTCCAAGGTCTTCCAGCCAAGCCCCCGCTGACCTCAGGGCCCACCAACAGCTCCCTTGGAGCAGAAACCCAAACAGGGGCCGTCTGGGCCTGCGACGCCACCTCACCCCACCCCCTCTGTGTCTCTCCTCCTCCCCTTCCCCCTCCCCTCCCTGGTCCTGCCTTTCCCTTCCCCGGACAGCTGAAGCCTTTCCAGTCTGGCGCCCAAAGGCAGAGGGCTGGGCGTGGGTGGTGTTCAGCCGGGCCTGGCTCCTCCACGGCCCTCTCCAAGGGCCAGAGAGAGGTGTTAGTGTCAGAAAAATATTGCAGTCACGCTCACCCCGTGGCCTCGGGCCCTCCACCACGCTCCCAGCATCATCTATCGGCCGCAAATGGGAGGCTCGCAGAGGTAATGAGTTGCACATGCTCCTGGCCGCGCCCAACGCCTGCAAGCCAGGCCGCTTGCTGCGTTTAGGGCCTGAGCTCCTCATTCCTGCGTCCCTGCCCCATAAAATTAAATTATTCTCCTAAGGGAGTCCCCACATCTACATCCATCACATCTCCCTGGTTCATCTGGCGTAGCTGAGGGCTGCCGGGCAGCTGCCCAAGGGTGGGAGTGCATTTCCTGGGAGGGTCTGGCTGGGGCCTCACAGAGGGTCAGGCCCTCTACAGGTTGGAGAATCCGGCACTGGAGCAGGAGAATAGCAGAGATGTTAACTCATGCGGTGCCGTGGTGCACTCAGCTCCCCCAGCTCACTGGGGGCTGGTGGCCAGGAAGGATCCTGGATCTCTTGTGCCCCAGGGACTGTCCCTCCACAAGATGGGGGACAGCCCAGGGAGGTACCAAGATGTTGAACTTTGGGAGGTCTGGGCTCGGCGCGGGGTGTCTTCTGTTGCCCCTCCATTCCCACCCACTGCCACT